TCTTGGTAATAATTATTATTCTGGTCGTCATTGTGAAATAACATCGAAGAAAATAGTTATTTTTAAATTTATTTCAAAATCATTTTCTTATATTGTAATCATTGCTATGATTATTGTTGCAATGGTTGTTGTAATCATGGATGTATTATAATATTGTTTTGGAATTGATTCAGTCGCTAAAGAGCGACGAAGAATTCAAGAAGAAAAGCAAATGGCAAAACGAAAACGATCTGTTATTCATCGATTAGTTTATGTAAATGCACCATCAAAACAATCAGCAACGAATATTCCCTTTAAAACTATGAAAGAAACAACTGTTTAACAAAAAAAACCAGACATTTCATGACTTGATCACGTATACTCATTTGTTTTCATCCGTTCGGTAAATGTGTTACTAAGATATACGTCAGTTCGATGCGAGCATTAAAAAGAGTTCTTATAATGACGTGCTTGTATTCTCTTCTGTTGTTTTTTCATCCGATGCAAAATAAGAAAAAAAATCGAAAAGAATCCTAGATGTGACAATCAGAGCCTATTCCATGTGATTCTTGCTCAAATAAACTTATTTCTTTTTGTGAAAGGATCATACGACTGTGAAATATCATTAAAGTTTGCGCTAACGTGAGACATAATGAAGAATAGGCAAGTGATTCTTTTAGTTTTTGGATATCTGATCAGTTTATGGCATAGCACTTTTGCGAATGAACCGGTCAATGTGACGAAAACATTTACATCTAGCCAAACACTCTTTGCTAATCCTGAACGAGGATGGATTACACATCGATTTGCGAATGATCTTTATGGAGTTAATAGTCTGCGCGAAAGTGCTGAAAAAGTATCATTAGTTCTGATTAAAATTGACATATCAGCTTACAAGAATAGTTCACATATTGGACAGAGTAAACTTAATGAAATTCGTTCAGCACTCAATACTTGTCGTCAACAAGGTTTAAAAGTTATCATGCGTTCTGCTTATTCTTGGGATTTAGTTCTTGCTCCAGAGCCAAAAAACATTGAAACTGTTAAAATCCATATTATGGATATGAAACCAATTTATTATCAATATGAAGATATTATCGTTGCTGTCGAAATGGGTATGTTTGGACCATGGGGTGAAATGCATTCATCATATTTTAGCACTACTAACAC